CTGCTAAAAACATCTGTTTTGGTTCTGATTATCATGTTTATCGCGCTGAAAGACGTGCTCGTTTTCTCAGACGCTTGCAGAAAAAGGCTTCCCAAAACAAAGTTACTGGGTTAATTTTTTTTTCACTTTTACTTGGTTGGTAGATGCACCGGGGACCTGATTATAGCACTTAAAACCTGGCACCGTCTCACCTGTGGGACGCTTGGCGCTCGTTGTTTTGTTGTTGTCCTTTTTCTCTATAAAATCTGTTAGTAATCATCAAAAATTATATATCATTTGAAAGCTTAGAAGCCCAAGATTCATCCTGTGAAAACCATTTTGAATTCGGACTTTGCGTTACAATGGAAATGGTACTTTCAAATCTTTTGCCGGTCTCCTCCCCCTTAGTGGGCAGTGTCAAGTGTCATATTACAAAATGCATTACGGTCTTTTAGAATCAAACCTTTTTATAATCTTGACAAAAAAGCATATCATTGGAAAGGTCTGAGTCTCAGGATTCCATATATGGTGGTATTTAGAGATAGAAGTAATATTGACAGAGAAATCTTGACATTTGTGCCAGAAAAATGCATTCAAAAATTTTATGGAGTTTGGATGGTATCCGGTGGCTGTTTGTGGAATAACGCCCTAAATAAAATCTCACAGGAACCTCAATTGTTTCCGTATCAACTTCAAATTTGGAACATAACTTATTTAGACATAAGGCTTTAATTTTATACCAATTTTAGAGTAAAACCTGTTATGTAAAATATGTATTATATATAAAATTAAATTAATATAGTGCATTTTATTTACAGTAAATTTAAACTTCTATAACTTTTTGATACTTAAATTTTTTTAAATAAATTCCACATTTGCAATAATCTGCTGATTTTCTTCTTTAAAAAGAGTATATAAACACATAAATTACAACAATTTAAGTTTGGATAGTGCACTTTCATGCCTTTTTTAAAAAATGGGGGTGACAGTTAAGGGGTTAATATACATGAACACGTTTTTTGAAAAACATATCTACTGTCTTTGAAACATGTCTATGTTCTTTATGCTCTATGTTTAGGGTGGTTTCAGTCATATTAATAAATGTACATTTTGCATGTTCAGAAGAAGTGAGCTCCCCAGTCGCGTGGAAATGTAAACAGGCGTGTGTAAGTAAATTGTTCAGTGCAAAGAAAGAGAAGTAACGGGGACCTGATTTTTCTATGTTCTTTTTTCCAAGTGTTTAATAGTCATGAACAAGTTCTTTGAAAAACATATCTACCGTCTTTGAAACATGTCTATGTTCTTGATGCTCTATGTTTAGGGTGGTTTCACTAATAATAAACATACATTTGCAAAAATGTGTCCATATTTGTCCATGCCATAATTGTCTAATTGTTGATTAGAGTATTAAAAACTTGAAATATATCAATTTAATGACAGTTAAGATTATTTTTACATAAAGGGTCTGTGGATGTCCCACAAATTCATTAAAGATGAATGAAAATTAACCATCAACCTCCTTGTTCCTCGTGTTTTATTCTCCAGGTTTCTGGTTCCTCGTGTTTTATTCTCCGGGTTTCTGGTTCCTCGTGCTTTATTCTCCGGGTTTCTGGTTCCTCGTGCTTTATTCTCCGGGTTTCTGGTTCCTCGTGCTTTATTCTCCGGGTTTCTGGTTCCTCGTGCTTTATTCTCCGGGTTTCTGGTTCCTCGTGCTTTATTCTCCGGGTTTCTGGTTCCTCGTGCTTTATTCTCCGGGTTTCTGGTTCCTCGTGCTTTATTCTCCGGGTTTCTGGTTCCTCGTGCTTTATTCTCCGGGTTTCTGGTTCCTCGTGCTTTATTCTCCGGGTTTCTGGTTCCTCGTGCTTTATTCTCCGGGTTTCTGGTTCCTCGTGCTTTATTCTCCGGGTTTCTGGTTCCTCGTGCTTTATTCTCCGGGTTTCTGGTTCCTCGTGCTTTATTCTCCGGGTTTCTGGTTCCTCGTGCTTTATTCTCCGGGTTTCTGGTTCACTCGTGTTCTCCTCACTCTCCTCTTTAACAAACACCATCTTCACAGCAGCAGATCTCAGTTCAGATGATACTCCTCCAGATATTCACGACTATGAGGATGAAAATATTACATGTATTTATTGACCTGATTCAAAAACTGTATTTCTCTGTTTACAGAAACAACATTTCTAACAGTTTGTATTAAGCCAGCATCACGATAAAACAACAGAGAGCGGAGTGAAACTAAACTTCTTCCTCTGAGGTTTAATGGTGTTTGGCAAACAAGCCTATGTGTTTTAGCGCCACCCGCTGGACTGGAGTGTGATGCGGCGAGAGGAGGGAAATAATACATAACATCATCTCACGTTATTCTGAGTGTTTGCTTTAAGAACACATTATTTGAGTCAGGATATATGATAAAAACCCTATAAAACTGCTCTGCTGAAAGACAATACTGTTATATTGTTATAACAATTTTCTCACAATATGCATGGATAAAACATCAGCAATACAAAAACAAACACTAATGACACTCATCTTCATCAACTACTACAGCTAAATAACTACAACAGCATAATATGTCTACGTGACTCTAAATATAGTCTGGTTTTATAATAACTACATTCATTGCAATTAAGTAATTAGATAATTAAAGGCTGATGTATTATTAAAATCACAACATTCTAATTTATTGAGATGCACCTGTATGCGTTCGGGGGGCGTTGCATTGGATGGCGATTTGCAGGGAGGGTGGGACGTTCGCTTTCAGTGCTATCAGGCTAAAGTTAGCATTTTCCAAGATCTCCTACTGCACCTTTAACCAAGACGTTTAAAAATAACACATTTTAGAGCTGTACCTGCAATAGTGTGATACCACGAAACTGATATTTTTGTTTAAGGTTATCATACCGTCACAATCTCATACCAGCCCATGACTACAAGGTGCATTATAGCTGTATATTTACACCTGAGAATGCCTTGACTCGTTATTACGCCACATGATGCCTAAGGGACCGTCTCACAGTTCAAATTTGCTTTTAAATGTCGAAATTGCCCAAGTAGTAGCCTATTAACATACAAACTTGTAGAAGGTTCCTAGTAATAAGAATGACAGTTTATTTCTTATTTATTTATTATAATTCATCAAAATAATTTTCCATTCAAAGGTTTGTAGTACATTGCTAGTGTCCCGACTGACTTAAGACGAGAGGTATTGGCAAAATGTCACATGTATTATGAACTCAGTAAAGTGCCATACGCAACTATATACCTCAATTACCCCTCTTTATACAAGTACACTAACTTTCCAATTGTTGCAGCTCACATTCAGTAAGTCAGTTTGCATTTACTACAACCTTGTAAAATCATTCATTTGAAAGAATGCTGGGGCATGGTTTACGGTTTTTGCACTGGATTTGCAGACGGTCCCTTAAACAACGCGATTATCCATGGAATATAGAACTTACAACTAACTTTATCGCGCACACAGATTTGATCTGCCAAAGAAAAATGAGAAATAACATTATCAATACAATCGCAGCAGCACTACTTTAAATTGGTTTGCATTAATTCCCCTCATATATCACGATACTAACAGCAGCATTATCACTGCAAACATCGAAACAATCATTTACACGAACATACAAAAACATCCCAGCAAACGGGACGTCCCCCGGACGTTCCGAACGTCCGTTTTGGTCCGCAGTACGTCCGCTTTGTAACGTTCGCGGGCGGACGTTCGGAGGACGTCCACTTACGTCCGCATTTTGGTCCTCTTTTTGAAGTTCGCTGGTGGATGTTTTGAGGACGTCCACTTACGTGCGCATTTGGTCCTCTTTTTGACGTTCGCTGGCGGATGTTTCGAGGACGTCCGGTTTTGGTCCGCTTTGTAACGTTCGCTGACGGACTAATGATTACAAAGGGAGTTATATCTGAATATTTTCACACATATACATACAGTATTTAAAATATGAGACACCAATGTTTCAGGAGTTGAGGACACAGACACATGCTTGATAACAGTTTTATTTCCTATTTTGGTTTATGTATATGATTTAAAAAAAAAAGAAGAAGATTAACTGTTTTTTTTTTCAAGGCATTGTTAGATGCCAGTGTTTCCTGTCATAGCTATGCAAAGATTTGATTTCAAAAAAAGTTTCATAGCTATTAAACTTATGATTTTAAATTTGTATTTAACCTCAGAATTATCTCAAAAGTAAAAAAAGTGGTGTTAAAGTCTGATTTTGTGGAGGCTGTGCTTTAAAATTAATCTTAATTCAAGTGATGAAGGATTTGGAGATGTCTGACAGTATTTAGTGTTGAGTACTACTGTAAGGTTTACCCTGCCTGCTTTAAACGTTTTAAAATGATTAACAGTTGAGAACATCAGAAATTTAGAAAAGTAATCAAATGTAAGCGGTTACATTTCTTTAATAAAGTAATTAAAATAGTTACACTACATTTTAAATAGGGTAACTTATATTCTTAAATTATTATAGGCCTAATCTTAATTCAAGTGAATTGAAACATAATTTCTGCCAGACTGTGATAAGGACAAACACATGGGGGGAATGGAAGGCACCCATTTACTTTAAAAAGTAAAATTTTAGCATAACAGATGTAATGGTTGTTACATCAAAGCAAATTTATCCAGGTCTAAAAATATTTATATGCCCAGTGAGGAAAACAAGTTTCCCTGAGCAATGAAATTCTTACTTTGCTGTCCACAATGAATGCCAAGACAGTGCAATGCTATACACACACATACACAAACTATACACACACACATACACAATGTAAGAAACATAATAATAACAACTATGCTGCAGTAATAGGAATATAGACTATGAAAAAAAAAATAGAAATATAGACTATCTATATATGCGAGTATAGAGTAGAAATATAGAATGTGAAAACAGAAATATAGACTATGTATATGGTATTTAAATATGCGAATGTACAGTATTAACTTATGTGCAAAAAACGATATGCATTCATATCATTCAACAATATGCATTCATATCCTACACAATTACTCGCTAACAAAGGTTATTCGTCCAATGCAATGCATATTGTACGCATTATTATTAATTTTGTTAAATAAACAAAATCACTGGTAAATAAAATGCAGCTTAGTATCGATATTTTTTGTTTGAGTATCGATACTTTCGATACTCGCGTCAGTATCGGCAGGTACGCCCATCCCTAGATTTGGGAGAATAGTCGGAGACGATGGGTTGAGCACGTGCGTCGCAATTACACACGAGAAATGCCTTAACACACATAACATGTGGAAATACATTTTAGAACACGTGCAAATAAATGTAACTAACACTCATGAATAAAACACATGTAACAGAGTTAAAAAGAACATTAATTCTAATGATATTCATGGTGTTGAATTACATGAAATTAGAGGGTAAATTAAATGAAAGTGTTTTGGTGCCCCCTGGTGGTTAATGCGTTGCAGACATTCATTATTTTGTACTTGCGCGCCTACCGTAGTTCAGCAGAAAATGGCTGACACTGCTGCGGATAAGCGTGTTACTCTTCTCTCCTGTTTAAAAAGTGATATGTGTGTTTAATATGAGTTTTTCATATGTAAACGTTTGTAGTGATTATATCAACAAATGTACAGTGAGTTGGATGGGTTTATATGTCCGATGGAAACTTTGTTGAGCACTTATCGTTGTGCCTCGTGTGAAATTAACATGTTGCTGCTGATGTAGCTTCAGATGGCTAAATGGAAAACACAGTTACCCTTAATGAGAGTGGGTTTGTTTATTTTATGTTTTTCTTATTTCAGTGGTTTATGTCTGCAGTGTTTTCACCCTGTGTAATAATACATTTTGATGTATTCCTCAGGTATGTGATTTTCATGTTTATTTTCGTTATTTTGTTAACATGGAATTGTTACAAGTTGTATGGAGTTCAGCAGAAAATGGCTGACACTGCTGCGGTGGTTTATGTCTGCCGTGTTTTCACCCTGTGTAATAATACATTTTGATGTATTCCTCAGACACGATTATCATTGCTGCGGGGAATAAAAGAAAGAACAGACAACCAGAGTCTTGTGTGCGTCGTCCATTTAAAGTTTGTGACGGATGTGTTAAGGCCACATTGGGGACAACGATCGTTACACACACAATGAACAATACACGCCGCGGCTGTTAACGATGAACTTGGGGGAAAACACACACAAACACACACACACACACTTGAAGTGTTAGATTAGACTGGCTTCACCTCTAATATTAAAAAAGAACAGACTAAAATTACATTTAAGAGAGATACGTCCTGATTAAAATACCAGATATGTTAACAATTTGGATTGGACAGAAATGTCTTCGACTGCCACTTCCGACGGTAATTTACAGGAATTTTATTAACACAATAATCCACGAACAACTTTTCAAATCCAGCCGCTGCTTTTAAACCAGAGCCATAACGCGCTTTTCCTCCTGCTGATCAGTCGACTTCCTATAGTCTCCACCATGATTAATAAAAATACAAAGCAAACAACAAAAATAAAGAACAACCCATTCAAGTCCATCAAAAAGTTTGTTTGACCTTCTTCGGCGCATAGATCTGAGTTGACGAGAGCATAAATACTTTATTCACCCTCTGGTGGTGTGAAAGAAAATTACAAACAACCAAAAAATGGCTCCTACAGTGAGCAACCTCTCATTAAATTGACAGTGTGTCGTGTGAAAGCTGTGAAAATGATCAATAAAACCTGAAATTCCCTTAAAAAAACAACAACCACATACATAAATCATAGTACACTTACCCAGCCTGAGTGTGGACGAGAGAGCTAGGGGCCTGAGGCAGTAGTGTTCCACCAGGGCCCGTATTCACAAAACATTTGATCTTACCACTAAGAGTTCTCCTAAATGGCAGTAAATGTTTTGAGCTAAGAGTTTTCTCTTAAAACCTACCCTTACGAAAACTAACCATGGTTTTACTATAGTAAAACTGTAGTTAACCATGACTATAGTAACCGTGGTTTTAAAAACCATGGTTCAAGTACCACAAATTAACTATGGTTGTATTACCATAGTTTAACCATGGTTTTACTAAAGTACCTCAAATTACACTTAAGCCTAGTTATTCAACAAACATCTACAAAATAAAAACAGAATGACAAGTTACTATTCTATGATACAGGCTTTATTACAGCAGTTACATCATCTGAAAGAATATATGAACGGTTGCAGTTGTTCTCACATGACAAAATGATTCAGAACTATTAACTACAACTTTATAAAAAAATTGTTATAAAGCACTGCAGTGGTAGAGATGGTTTTCTGCTAATTTACAAAATAAAAATAGCAAATTGTTTCACTGTAATAATGCATTATCTCTATAGAAATTAATTAGACGTTGTACAAATAAACATGACTTAGTGCACATACACAGCATGATACCGCCTACCTCTTTTACAATATCCTATGTATAGGGCTGCCTGCAACTAACAATTTTTTTGATAATCAATTTATCTGTAGATTTGTTTTTTATTAATTGGATGACAAAAAAAAAAAAAAAATTACATTATTTTTTAATTAAAATAATTTGAATCCATTATTTTAAACAATGTCATTTCACATCCTGCCTATGAAAACAAATATAATGAATATAACTATGTAGGCTCTGCTGTACATTATAAGCATTAAAGTGTTTAATACAAACATTACATTCTAAACCTAAAAACAACAGATTGCTTGCTATTTTAAAACAGAATTTAAAATAATTTAAACAAAAACACAAAATGTTAACTTGTACGAGGTACGAGGAATAAACACAATCATTCGTCTGAACAGAGTAATTATATTATATTAATGGACAATTCCAACAATAGTCCCTTTACTGTTACTGCTCTCATAAATATGATTACTAGTGTTACATGTAGGGTTTTAAACCTACACTTAATTTCTAACAAAAAAATATTTTAGCAAAATGTGTATTTTAGTCAGAATTATGAGCAGTCTGTTTGTTTTGATGCGCTAATCAAATTCGTTGTCGATTATTTTCATTATCGATTAGTTGTTGCAGATGTATGCAGTCCATAGGGTGCATCAAGGTCGCATTAACAACCTTGATTACAATATCAATAAAGGTAAACAAGGTTTTCATTGGAAAAGTTTTACACATACTACAAAATACATTCACAAGAAATGAGAAATACTTTTAAGAATGATTAAAATGATATCAACTCACATGAGATGAAGATTTCAGTCATTTCAGGCCTAAAGCAAGCTGATTTATTCTACATCGAGTCACCTCATGGGGGCCGATGAAGGCCAGATGAATCCTCCACTCTTTAACTTGGTGAAGGTAACGCCCCTCTTTTCAAAAACGTTTGATGCTGCATACAGTGAATCTATTTGCTGTAATGTTTTTATTACATGTGATTCTTTTTGAGCAACTGTATCTCTTTATTTGACCTGAAATGAGGCAAACGACTCCAGGACTGAAATTGTCTCATTCTAGCATTTAATGCTGAGGAGGACTCGAGCCTACAAGCCTCCGAAGACTGAACGAAGAAGGACACAGCCTCAGTAGATGCAACCTTCCATTTGAGAAGCACCCAAACCTTGCATCTCGCGTGGAATTGATGAATGAATTTCAGAATTGTGGGTCAATTTGGAGGACACATGTGAAAAATGTTTGTTTTTAGTACTCTTCACTAAACCCACAGAATACAAAATATAATTCTTACAACTAGCAGAGTAAAACTTCTGACACACACATGATGTCCAAGGTGCTTAAAAAAATTGGGGTGGCTTACCTAGTGAGAGTCTCTGGTAAATTCTACTGGCCCGAAAGACTCTGGAGTCATGGACCGAGCCAGGCCACTTTGCCTCTAAATTTGTGATAAGGCAGTCAGCATCACAGATCATCTGTAACAAAAATAATCATAAACCCCAGTAAACCTTGAGAATATTAATTGTGACATTTGAATAAAATATATGGATATAATAATGTATGTATAAATCTAAATTGAACAACAATCTCTTAATTCATTTAACATTTTTTTTATTTCATTGACAATTTAATTAAACATGGACATTACTTTCATTAAAAAGGCTTATTTCTGCTATTGTAGGCTCGTTTTGTAAATGTAAGCTATTAATTTAAATTGCAAACTGGGTGCTTAATGCAAATGTAATTGGCCACATTTACAAAATCAGGTGATTATGTTCGCCCATCTATGTAAATGTCTCTTTATGAATAGAATCTATGTAAATGTGTCTTTATGTATAGAGACACAAGAATGAGGTTAATCACTGTCTGTCAGTTTAATCACTGTCTGATGAATGAATGGTACGCCAGAAAAAAAAACATCTTCAGCTTTTGGTTTTATTTCTCATCAAACACAAAACAACATTATGCAAATAGTGTTACATCATATCTGCAGGAGTTCAACATTTTCAGGAATTTTAATTTTAATGTAAATTTAATGTTCCGAAGATGCATGACTTCAAGGCGACTTTGTTTCCATACGTGTATGCCTGCACGGGAAAAACACATTGGTCTGTTTTACCAAAGTCCTAAAAGCATGCAGCATTTTTTTTTTACTTTTTTTTTTTTTATAATCTCGACATAAATTGTTTTCTCGTAATCTAGAAATAACAGTTTGGAACTCGAGAAAGTGAAAAGGAAAATAATGCATAGCCTCATTAGGGCTTCCGGGCTATTCAGATTGGATAGGTAAAAACACCCATCCCGGTGTGAAAACGCCCAGTAATAAAGCTCCAGCCCTGGAGCAGCGCGTGCTGATCAGAGGCCCGCAGTAAATGAAGATGAAACAAACCCACGAAGTTATGATTTGTGTTATCCCTCTATGTTTAATCCTGGCTTAATATTATTATTTAAAAAGTGTTTTGATTGATCTAATTTCTGTATTTTAATAAATGCTGCATTGAATTTCAGTGAATTATTTGACTTCTCTCATTTTTCTATACCAATCCTAAATTATGAAGACTGTTGGTGTTGATGCGAGTCCATAATTTATTTATCCGGCTTTTTCAAAGGAAATCAAATCAGCGCACCTTATAGACGCATGTAATTTCCCCTTGTTATTTTCCTCCTCTCGACGCTTCACACTCCAGTCCAGCGGGTGGCGCTAAAATACATTCGTTTGTTTGCCAAACACCATTAAACCTCAGAGGAAGAAGATCAGTTTCACCGCGCTCTCTGTTGTTTTGTTGTGATGCTGCTTAATACAAATGGTTAGAAATGTTGTTTCTGTAAATAGGGAAATACAGTTTTTGGATCAGGTCAATAACTATTCTCGTTCTCACAGTCGTGACTAAGACTAAGAGTATCAGCTGAACTGAGTTCTGCTGCTGTGAAGATGGTGTTTGTTAAAGAGGAGAGTGAGGAGAACACGAGTGAACCAGAAACCTGGAGAATAAAACACGAGGAACCAGAACCCTGGAGAATAAAACACGAGGAACCAGAAACCTGCAGAATAAAACACGAGGAACCAGAAACCTGCAGAATAAAACACGAGGAACCAGAAACCTGCAGAATAAAACACGAGGAACCAGAAACCTGCAGAATAAAACACGAGGAACCAGAAACCTGCAGAATAAAACACGAGGAACCAGAAACCTGCAGAATAAAACACGAGGAACCAGAAACCTGCAGAATAAAACACGAGGAACCAGAAACCTGCAGAATAAAACACGAGGAACCAGAAACCTGCAGAATAAAACACGAGGAACCAGAAACCTGCAGAATAAAACACGAGGAACCAGAAACCTGCAGAATAAAACACGAGGAACCAGAAACCTGCAGAATAAAACACGAGGAACCAGAAACCTGCAGAATAAAACACGAGGAACCAGATTGCACCCTGCCAGATTATGCACCCCCTAGTATTGGTAGGTTTTTAAGAGTAGATGTGGGGGTGGGGTTGGGATTAGGCAATCAGGTAGCGATTTAAACGAGGGGGTGCATAATCTGGCAGGGGTGCAGAATTCGGCACAACACCGCTACTATTAATCACAGAATCGGCTTTACTGACAAGATTCACATGACAATCAAATGCGAAGGGAGACTGGCGTTTGTCACGGTTTGGAAAAAAAAGGGAGAAAACATGACCTAATAACTCGGGTAATATCGCATTTTGCGTAAAATTAAAAATTGACTTTTCAATACCGACCAGATACAATACTGCTTTTGGCAGAAACTCAATTTTTTTATTTTAAATGCCGTTTATTGCGTTTTGGAACCAAACTCTTCATTTGTAGCAATAGCCAAAAATACATTGTATGGGTCAAAATTATCAATTTGTATTTTATGACAAAAATCATTAAGATATTAAGTAAAGATCATGTTCCATGAATATATTTTGTAAATTTCCTACCGTAAATATATCATCTTGCCCGATTCAGATTTCCGATTTTTTGTTGGTGTGATCTGCCGATACCGATTTTTGTCGATTCCGATTTTCTTTCTAAGAACTATAATTGACAGCATATACAAACAAAATCTACTTTTCTTCATTCTTCAACGTTATTTTCATAAAAAAACTAAAAGTCAGTAATAAAATAAGAACACAAAAATTGCAAACAACAAACAACATAAATGCAATAGAATAAAGAGAGCTATGAAACTTAAGTTTTTCAGGTTAAGTAAGTTTTTATTCAGGTAAGAAATACTACAGAAATTAAAGTAATCAAATGTAAAATAACACATCCAGTGTTATTTTACATTTCATTAGTTTAATTTCTGTAGTCTTCGTTGTAAAAATTTTATACAGATTAATGCTATTAATGCTTGTTATAAAACGCATTCAGTCAAGAGCAGAAAGTGATTTTCTTTGTCTTTTGTTCTTTGATTTCTTTGATTGACAGCAGCAGAAATATTGGACTGCGGTCCCTTTAAGAGTTTATCCACGGACCCAATATAGGTCTTGTTTACACCTGGTCATTTCATGCGTTTTCGCTGATCGGATAACTATCTGATTTGTTAAAACGTTTCCATTTACACTTGGCGCATAAATGTGTCGTCGCAAAACGGATATAAATCCGATCTTCAATTCCC